TAGGGAAATGAGTCCAATTCTCTTAGGACAATTCCTGTCAATCTATCCATAAAAATACTTTTATGCCCATCTCAATTTAGAAGAAAAAAAGGCATTCCTAGAAACGCTATTATTTAGGAGGAACAGTGTACATTTATCAGTTGTCAGAGACTAGCGTTGTTTGCTGTGGCAAAGAAAAATACAGAGACTGAGGGAGCACTGCATAGGTCAGGGGAGATTCAAGGAAATAAAAAGGATACATCTCAAAACAGCAGAGAAAATCCCTGTAATTACATATTTGAGGTAAAGAAAATGAAAAGTAGGCTCAACAAGCTTTTCCCTGAAAAAAACACAAAACCTAAACCCAAGGAAAACCAAACAAAACCAAACCACCAAACCCAAGCTTAATAGCATTAGGAAACTTGATGACTATAGGTCATCCAGACAGCTCTGGAGTAGAAGTGTCAATGCCAGCTGAGCAGGCAGGCAGCATGCAAGGACCATAGGGTCCATCACTGGAGGTCAGTCCTGCTTTACAGATGAGGGTAGGGGAAGATTGAGCAAAACTGCCCAATCCACCTCCTGCTCACTCCAGAATGTTTACAAATATTTTATATTTTTAATTTCTGATTTGTCACGGACAATCCAGCAGCAGTCTTATTACTGTTGCTCTAGAAATTGATAAAACACAGCATAAGGAGCCCTTCTTCCACTTGTCACCCTCACATTTGACACAGAGCACTCAAGCTTTGTTTCTTTCCCTCCTCTCCTGCCTCTTTTCTGATTTATGTCCCTGAAAGAGAGGAAAAAAAACCAGAAAAACTAAACAGAGCAGGAAAGCATATCTGAAGTTTCATGAAAGCAGTAAAAACTGAAAGGACATGGTTTTGGCACAGGTTTGTGTTACTGGAATTTAACTGACTGGAGCTGAAGATTTCTCTGCTGCTTGGGTCTAGAATGTGGCATTTTTATAACATCTGCTACCTGCTAATCCCTTGTGATAGAATGGGAGAAGAGGTAAAACAATCTCACATTATACAACTGCTTGAAAAGACCATCTATACTTAAAGGTGTACAGATAAACAAATACAAATACAGGTTGATATCCATTCTTAGCCATTCATTAGAGTACATTTACATTTGTACATTATTTTACAAAAGAATAGTGACTGGACGTTGGTCAATAAAACTTGATTTGACAATTTATACTCAGCTATATTATCTCACAGGTCACCTAACAATGTATAAAGCACTCATCTATGAAAAACTCTATACTGATTCAGAGCAGTGGAACTGGAACACAAATTACAAGCACGTAAGTATTTTTTTTCTCCATTAAGTTTCAAGATGACAA